GGGCCAGAAGGGGGGTGCGTAGCCGTGCGGGCGGGTTTCTGTGTGCCCTGGGGGGTGCGGCACAACTCAGCCATCGGGCAGAGGAGCGCCCAGATGCTGAAGCTTTTCCTTCGGTGCTAGGTAAACCGGAGGTGGCCTGCAGTTTGGATATCTGCGGTTTAGCGTTTGAGGGCTCCAATTTTGGGGGGCAATCCATTAGATCCTATTAAAACTTCTTCTGTGCAGAAACAGATAAGCATAATTCAGTTCTGCAAGATGAAAGCCTGTGGTATCGACTCAATGCTTGCTGTACAATAAAAGCACTTTTAGTGTCTAGAAACAGTAACAAACCAGAACTGAATCGAGCGATTGTAGTGAACAACAGAGTGCAGACAGTGTAGATCTTCCTGTGCCTTTACAGTAGTCTTTTAGTGTCCACTTTTGTCAATCTTCTCCGCAGACTTTGAACTAAATTGGTAATGATCATCACTGGGCAAAGATGAAGCAAATTCTATGTGAATAGATGTAACTGAAGCAAAACGAATATAACTGAAGCAAATTTTATGTGAATAGAGACAAGATAATAATGTAGTGTGATTGTAGTGGGAATAAAGTAGAAGCAGAGACAATGTGAAAACAAATTTGCCCGAGCTCTGCAAGGTGTCTAAACATGTGCTTATTTTCTGGTGCGTTAGCGTAAAGTATATCAAGAGTTACTGTTGCTGAAAGGTTGTCTTTTGGCGAATATATTGTCCCATTCCTTCTGACCTGCTATCTGTGGGTTTTCCTGCAGATGCTGTTGTAAACTAAGATGAATAATTTTTCTGTCTTGTGAGGCATGCAAATTCCTTCTCTCATCTAGGTTGGTTCCTAGAATTTTAAATTTCTGTTCATAGCAAATTCATTGCAACCAGTCACTAAAAATGCCTTTTTAACATTTTGATTGCAGGTGAAGAGGCTTGGTATTGTTGCCGTGAGTAAGTATGCACAGATTGTTCCTTCTTGTTCGTTTGTTTGGTTTTTTTAACACATCTGACATCTGCACTTGATTCTCAACTCAAAAATGGAAAATTAATTGTATGTAATAATATTTACACTGAAATATGTTGAAAGGAGTCTCAGAAATATCAGATATCAATTTGGAAATAAGACTGCTGTTGCAATTGTAACTTAGTTCTCTTAGGGATATACCTTGTGAACCTCCTATTCTTGTCACCTTGTTCTTCCAAGAACACCCCTAGGCCTTAAGGAGTGAGCAGTGAATAAAGCTGTTAATTCCAGGTCCCTTTTTTTAATTGTTTTTGTGTTTACTAGAAGGCTGCGTTATAGGAGGAAAATAATTACAGGAACAGAACAGGTGTGGATGGGACTGGAAGTCTTCAAGGAGTGTTAAAAATTGGCTGCACTGCTGGATACCAAGGATATTAATTGATGGCTTGACATCCAGTTGACAGTTGGTAACAAAGCACAGCACCCTAGGTATCAACAGCAGTGCCGGTGTTGTTCGGCACTGTCACCAACAGCCTGGGTGATGAGGCGACGTGCACTCTTAGTGAAATTTTGCAGACGATGCTATGTTAGGAGGAGTAGCTGACATCCAGAATGGCAGAGCTTCAGTCCAGGGAGGTGTTGCAAAATGCGAGGCCTGGGCCAACAGAAACCTTGCCAAGTTCAGCGAGGGCAAGAGCAGAATCCTGCACCTGGGACAGAACAAGCCGGGAACTGACTGGCTGTGTGGCACGCC